GGGGGGGGGGGGGTGCTCGAGGCTTTTGCTGATGGAAATTTCAAGCAGTTGAGATTTCGAGTCATTGCTCACCCTGGCAATGTCTTCGTAAAGCTCGGTATAATGCCACAGTTAATTCAAAGTCGTGAGAAGCATAAAATCTTCACGATGCTAACTTATCTCATATTGCATGCACATGCTCAACACATTGGTGAATCACCTAGGTTTCATGGCGTAGTTTATTATTTCGATTACATGGACGGCAACTATAGGCCTCAATTTCAACTTGTGACTGGTGCACTAGTTGGAAGAAAAGAGACTATAACAGCTTTCCTTGATCTTGTTTTAGAAGGTTTACCAGATGGTTACAACCCATGATGTTAATCATTTCGAGGATCAGCATTTCATTCCACGCCCCTACATATGATATTTTTAAGAATGCAAAAAAACATAAGAGGACAGTTTGTGCATTATTTGTGCATATGAGTGAATACTTTCTTGTTTGGAGAGGAAATGAGAAGAGCGTGGTGCGATGTTGGCTTTCTCAGAAATCAGTTACCTTGCAGCAAGCTTTTGAACCAGGTGGAGTTCACCACAAAATAAAAATTTCTCTCTTTCATGACAGTGAAGATCATAACCATGCGCAACTGCAATTTGAAGGAAGGTACCATGCCCATTAATCTTTTCCATCAGGATATTTGGCTGAAGATCTAGCGTCAATATGGCATTGTGATGAGTTACTCATTGTGCCGAGTAATGGTCGTAGCTGCACATATGATTCTGTTGCGTCACTATCTCGATCTAAATTACTTAGTGCACATGTTGTGGTTATGGTTGAGACCACTGAAGATGCTTGGTTGGAGTCAGCTTATCTTTACCTAATAGAAAAGGATGTGTGCAACTATGTTTGCTTGGAAGTTATTGAGGGTCGCTACTATGCTAGATATTTTATAGCTGGGTCCTTGGACATGCTCACTGGATTTTCTGAAGGACTAGGTAGTGGTATCATCTTCTTGGTTACAGACCAAAAGTTAAGGAATTCGCTATTGTATTTTTTTTAATATGATGCTCCTGATGTTTGGCTGTATGTTCATGGATCATGTGCCAATTCTTTTGTTTTTTCAAGAAGTGTTTCTGATGTTGGCCTTGCAATTGAGGATGCACATATTGCTACTGCCACACAATTTACTCCTTGCGTGAGAAAGTATGTTCCTTTTCCTAAAGAAGAGGTTCTCATAAAGAAAGAGATAGTCCAGGATATCACATTGCATTATCTTGATACTGTGAGTGCACACCCACAAGGAGAACAAGATATATTGTGTCTTATGTGCCAGCTGATGACACTTAGGAAAATTAAGTTTGATCATTTTATCCCTAGTATCAAAAGACGATAGTAGGGTAATTGCACCTTTAGCCTCATGTGATTGTGGAGAATCTAGGCCATCTGTAGAGTTATTGAAAAAGATACGATTACTGCAATTTCTCATGGGGTTGAATGAAAGTTATGGGAATATTAGAAGCAATATTTTAGCTAAGAGGCCTGTAATCACTGTGAATGAGGCCTATGCAATAGTCACAGAAGAGGAAAGCCAACGAATCATCGGGGTTACAGACACAGTGAAGGATCCACTCACAATGATGGCTGGAAAGAGTCATGAATTCAGACCAAAAAGGCCAGGATTAGTTTGTGATTACTGTGGTTATAAAGGACACCTCAAGGAAAATTATTACAAGATAGTAGGGTACCCACCAGATTTCAAAAGCAAGAAGAAAGGTCAAAACTCAGGAGAAAGGACCTATGTAAACAATGCAACCACCAGTGAGATAAAGCAAGGGGTTATGATGCCAACTCAAGGAAATTTCTTTACTGAGGAACAATATAAACAATTGGTAAATTTGTTGCAGAAAACAAACACAAGTGACTGTTCCACAAATACTGCAGGTATTATTGCTTTAATAGCAAATGTAGCTACTAATGATCATGTTTGGATAGTTGACTCAGGTGTAATACATCATGCGACACATTGCAAGAATGCTCTAAGTAATATTAAAAGAGCAGACAATAGAACAGATGTGGTACAATTGCCAACCGGGAATAAGATAGACATAACACATACATGAGATGCAGTAGTGTTATGAGACAAAACTATTGAAGGAGTTCTATATGTGCCAGATTTTAAATTCAATCTATTATCAGTATCTAAACTCACTAAGCAATTGTGTTGCTCAGTAGGTTTTTACCCTGATTTTTGCATATTTCAGGGGCTCTACAATGGTAAGTTGATGAGGATTGGTAGAGAAAACAATGGATTATACCTGATAAAAAAGAACCTACCAATAACAGCAACAAGTTTCTTAAAGGAATATGGAGATACAAGACTGGCATTTGAGACTAGGCCATGCATCAGCAAAGTCTATGGAACATATTTCAGCATTGAGAAATAATATAACACTAAAGTGCATAACAGTTTTTAAGTCTGTCCCTTGGCAAAGTAGTGTAGATTACAATTCCCTACTAGTAGTACTAGGTCAAGTGCTTGTTTCCAGCTTGTTCACATAGATGTTTGGGGACCTCATAAGGTACCTACATATGATAGAAAACTCTATTTTGTTACAATTGTAGATGACTATAGCAGATTTACTTGGGTATGCTTAATACAATCTAAGTGTGAAGTAGTTGTTGTAATAAAGAACTTGCTTGCAATGATAAAGACTCAGTTTGAAATCACTGTGAAGGTTGTTAGATCAGATAATGGTACCGAATTCTTCAATTCTCAATGAAACACTTTATTTTCTTCTCTTGGAATTATACACCAAAGTAGTTGTCCATACACCCCACAACAAAATGGGGTGGTTGAACGAAAGCACAAGCATATCTTAGAGGTAGCAAGAGCCCTAAAATTTCAAAGTGCAGTTCCTAGAAGATTCTGGGGTGATTGTGTAAGGACTACAATATACTTGATAAACAAATTGCCCACTACTGTGTTACATGGTAAATCACCTTACGAGTTATTATATGGAAAACCAATTAAGGTGGATCACTTAAGGGTGTTTGATTATTTGTGCTATGCATGTAATCTACCTAAGGGTGATAAATTTACAGTTAGAGCAAAAAAGGTTATTTTTATTGGATATTCAGAAACTCAAAAAGGTTATAGGCTATGTGATCTTGAGAATAAGAGCATATTTGTTAGCATGTGGTGTTCAAAGAGGAGATTTTTCCTTTTAGCACTACTACAAGTCCAGATGATGCAGAGGATCTTTTTTACTTCTCAACATTCATTAGAGACAGAAGAGATGCAACAATCACATCCAACTATGATTTCACCTACATCTTAGAGCATACATCCATAGATTGGAGACACTACTGCTACAGCAGGAGAAACACAAATGATGCAAGAGTTCTAGACAATGTCATATCAGATAGAGAGCATGAGAGTGCAGATCAAATGAATGACAATTTTATTGATGATCAAGCAGCTGAACCAGCAGAAGCCCAGCAACACTCTTCAGAACCAACATCATGTAAACAAGCAATTGAGGCAACAAAAGCTCAGGAGCATTATTTAGAACCAACAGAGGAAGCAAGTGTACATCCTCAACAAAAATCTGCAAATGTGGAAACTAGGAAGTATGGTCGACAAGGAAAGCCTTCCATTTGGCTGAAGGATTACATCACCACTGTTAAGACACACACTAACAATCCCTACTCAATTTCTAATGCCATCTCCTATGATACTTTATCTCCTGCATATTAGTCCTATCTTAGTATTTTTTTCAGTCTTAACTGAGCCACATTTTTTCAAGGAAGCTTCACATGATCCAATGTTAGAAAATAAACGTCCACCAGACTGTTAAGACAACCGGGTTCTCTATGAGTTTCCACTGAAGATACTAATGAACCGAACTGTATAGCGATCTAGTCCTATATCAGTTCCCACAATGCTAATTTCTGAACCAGTATGTAAATGAGACACAGGATGAGTTCCCACTGTATAGAGAACCAAATTCTCTATAAGTTCCCACTGTAAGCAACAGACTGTAGAACCAACCAGTATAGGGAATCAGGTTCTCTAATTGTTCCCACAGTAGCTCAGCAGTAAGTAAAGAACACAGAGGATTTTTTACATGGAGAAATCCCAACTCAAGGGGACAAAAACCATGACCTACACTTGTAGGCTTTCAACATCACTAACTTGTAAACACCTATTACAAGCCACTTTGTAATGACTCTATTACAAAGAATTCAACTAACTTGTGATACTCTTACTACAAGCCACTTTGTGACTCCCTAGTTACAAAGAATTTAACTAACTTGTGATGCTCTCACCACAAGCCACTTTGTCACTCTATAGTTACAAAAGCTTTTACTCACTCTAAATTGTAATAACACTTATTACAAGTCACTTTGTAACTCTCTAATTACAAAGACTTTAACTTATGGCTAAACCTAGTCACAACATAAACTGGAGAGTTTACGAATTTGGATTTCCTAAAAACAGCTTCTAAAAATCAAGATAGGAGTTACAATGAACAACAAATAACAAAGACTCAACAAACCTAAGGACTTAAGATATTTTCAATCTTGGATCCGGTCCTTGAGGTTGAAGTAGCTTTGTTCTTGAGAGAGGTTGTTCTTGCACTTGAGAGAATATTTTCGTTTCTGATTTTGCAAGTCTTAAAGAGGAATGTCTTGTGCCTTGCACCATGTTTATATTACAAAATACATCACCTTAGTGATGTCAAATCTTGGTTAGTACATGCCTCTTCTCAATGGGAAGTGACTGCTGCATTGTCTGTTGAACTGTTGCATGTATAGTTGATTTCCATCTATACAGTTGACTTATACTTCTGTCAGGGGAACACCAAGGGATCATGTCCCTAATCTGGTTCCTATGAATCTAAAGCATACTGCCCAGATTATCTTGAGTCGATTAACTTGAATGATTGTACCAGGCATGCTTCAGGTCCTTTGTTTGGTTCTCTCATGAAGTAAGTTGTTTTACCTTCCTTGATGGTATTTATACGTGTGTGACATCACTTACAATGATGTAAGCAAGGTAGGTAAAAAGCCTTCCATAGAAAGTTGAGTGTTGTACTGTTCCTGTGCAGTAGCGTGTGCAGGCAGTAACTTTCCTACTGGAGAGTTGACTTCATACAGTCTCCTCGGGAACTGTTAGGGACCTGTTTCCTCAATTGTTCCTTCTTCTCTGAAGAGTTGAGTTATATCCCACGCTGGATCCCAACCTGGAACTTTGTGATCTCAAGGTCTTGTAGATGTGAAACAAGTTCCGTATCTGGTTCTGGAACCTAAATCAATGATTAAACTTAGGAACCCAAGCCATCTTGGGTCCCTTATAATGATAGAACGGGTGGAT